CTTTGAAGAACGAGTGGTTCTAGATAGGGAAGAGATGGGAGGGACACCCCTGGGGATTGGAACCACTTGCAGGAAACCCTAAGAAGTGGTGATGAGTATGGCTTGGGGGGACAGTGAGGAGGACTCTCACCACAGAGCCATTGTACATGCTTTTCTCAACCTGCTGTCTCCTACCCACCCCTTCCCTTGTTACACTCCCGCCCCTCTTTCAGAGCTCAGCGCTCATTGCTCCCTCAGGAACCTTTCTCTGACTTCCTGACCAGATCAGATCCCTATTATGTATGTCTTTTGTAAGGGCTTCACAGTTAGGCGTGTATATTTCTCTGTGAGTTTCTTTGAGGACTATCAGCCCGGCTCTTTAATTCCCATCAGAACAGAGGTTATGTCTGTTTTGCACTTCCATTGTATCCCTTCACTCCTGGACCTGCTGTAGTGCGTGACACATAGAAGGGGCCTAAGAAACACTCACTGAATAAATGGATATGTTTTGCTTTTCAGTGAAGTAATAGTCTGGATAGGAGAAAGGGTTTATATTTGAGATTGCTAATCCCATTAGGTGCAAGCGCTGTATTCACTCATTTAATCTTTAAGAACAATTTGTGAAATCAAGTGCATTTCATTTCATTTTAAAGATGGGGAAATTGATGTCCAGAGATGTTAGCCATCTTTCCGTATTGACCCAGCTGTAGAATAAGTGGCAACAGAGGGATTTGAGCCTGGCAGCTTGACGTCAGAGCTCTTGTATTAAATCAGGTTGCCCCGTTGCTTTAGCGGAAGAGGGACAAAGTTAGGTACACAAGTAAAGTTAGGATAGATTTCTGTTTGAAAATTACGGATTTTTTTCCTCCTCCTTCTGGTCACTTATCATCATCATGGTTATCACTTCATGAGAAAAACTAAGCAGAAAAGAACTCCTTCGTGTGTCACGTTGCACACTCATGTTGACTCTTCTGCCAAAGTGATTCGGTCAAATTTCCTCAGTAAATAAACCGGACATTTCAAATTTTGATTCCCAGAAAATTTTAGGCTACTTCTCTTAGTCACCTTTTAAGAACCAGTATGAACTTTGCTAGAGCATGACAGAGAGTAACTTTGAATAAAAGGAGGTGATTTGATTAAGTTTGGTATTATATGCGACAGTAGGTTTCTGTTTTTTACTCAAAAAGCAGATCTAGCCTGTGGTTATCAGGACTATTGTGTCATAAAGCTCCTGGAAGAAAGGTTTAATTTCATCAAGGAAGCTGAGAAATCCTGAGCACCTCCAAGAATGATAGCTGTTACTATAATAACACAATTTATTACTAAAAAATTAACAAAGCCCAATAAAATATGGCACTCTGGAAAAAAACAAAAACTTAACCCTAGAAACAAAAGTGACTTGAATTGGTCATTTATTCCAGCCCCTGCCTTTAGACAGGATTTTTAAAAAATCATCTCAGGGCTGTTATATCTCTAGGTAGGGAAGTACATTACAGTAATCAATAAGATAATAGTTAACACTGTATATTGCTCTTATGTACTGGGCAGCGTTCTAAAAACTTTAACATATTTGATCCTCACAACAAACCTGCAAGGCCCTATTTTTATCCCTGTTTTACAGATGAGGAACTGAACACTGCCCAAGGTCACACAGCTAGTAAATGGTGAAACTGTCTTCAAACCTAGATAGTCTGCCCTTGAAGTACACGCTCTTCCAGTGTCCCTTGGTAGCCGATTACTCACATTTTCACCTTTGTCTCCCTGGCTTTCACTGAAAGCTTAACTTGTATTTAAGCCCTAAGCATGTAAGAGCCTGCTATGTTCAGACTCTTTCAAAAATAACCCAGCCTTCCTGGCAGATACAGTTGCTTTCTGTAACTTAATTTTCAAGGGAACCACTATTCAAAGAAGTAGGGAGGCTGAATAAAAATAACCAAATTCTCTGTAGAACAAATGAATTTCTGGATCAGTTGCAAATAGCTTTCAGTCATGGCAGCATTCTCTGAAGTATGCCCTCCCCTAAGTTAGAATTCCATTGTCTTCATTTGCCATACAACCTGAAAATAGTATCATTTTTTTTCTGTCCCCACACTTCAGCTTTCTTCTTTCAGTCAGTATTTTGGAAAGTCCACAAAACCCAGGGGCCTCCCTGTCGTTGCCCTGTGGTTGGTGTAAAAACCAGATGATGCCATGCTGACCTGAAGTCTTTTAAATGGATCAAACTGCACATTAGTCACTGGCAAAGTTTTCAGGTCCTTTTACCTCAGAGACTACTCAGTTCCTCATTCTTGCCACCCTTCAGTCATGAAGTAATAGCAAGAAAAAGATGTGAGTACTTTTTGAGGACACCTCCTACTCTTTCCTTCAGGGCTAGTGACTGATTCCTTCAGAGTGGTGACATTGAAGGGTCCTGATATCCAAAGGCATTGGGCTCTAATTGCTAGATTCCTTCTGGTGTTCTGCTTAAGTGGAGAGCCTACCTGATTTCACCCAAGTGAAGCATTTCATCATGCCTTACACTGTTGCATTCCTGGGCTCCGAGCACTTAGGAGTGAAATTACATGGTTTATTGAGTGCTTTTCACTGTTCATTTACTGCTAAAGAAGTCCCTGTAGAATATGTCATCATAACAAAGGCTGATTTCACATGCTGACACCAAGGCCCAGGACCGGCATTGGCAATCCAGGGACTATTGCAGGCACAACAACCAAGTTTGGAGCAAACCCAGAACTTTTCATTCCCTGTCCTGCCCTGAAGGGCAGAGGCTTTCTTCTGCCTGTTTTAAAAGGGAAAACACTAAGTTCATAATTATCTTTATGCCCAGAAGGCTTTTTTAAGTGCTATACCTGTTCTAGAAATTATTTGTGCTTGGAGGTGGCAGTCAAATCCAAATTTAATCCTCAGCATTCTTTGTCATGAGCTTGCTCTGCAAGGACAGGAGGCCACTTCGTAGGAAAGGCCTTCTCCTTGGGAAGGTTTGGCAGCAACTCTGGGCCAAAGTTCAGGCAAAGAGGCCCTAGTGTTTCCAGGGGAGCTATACTGTTGATTAGAAAGGATTCTGTCCTTTGCTCAGGGTGGGAAACTTCTCTCCCCAAAACCCTCTGCCAGACAATCCCAGCTCTGATCAACTTCTCCTCAACTCTTGCAGTGAGAGATTGCATTGGGAAAAAATCCATATTGAAAAAATGCTAACAAAACCCTGCTTCAATGGAATATGAATCCATTTGATGATATTTATAGTAGAAGTAGACTGGTTGAAGGGGATTCTGTGTTTTTCCAAGGAATTTTATTGGCAAGTGTAGATTCTTCCTCAAGTTAATGTTGGAAAGACTTCCATCAAGGATTCGTTGCTAGATGGGATTTCAGTCTACTTTCTTTTCCTTCCAAGCTATGGGCTGCTTGTACAGAATAAAATATTTCTGATGATGTATAGTTGGGAGATCCTGGATATAGGTCAGTCACTTCTTCAAAAAGAGACAAGATGAGCTAAGGAAATAGGATGACCGGCTCTTCCCAGTGTTAGCCCTGAAAGCCCTGGAAACCCCCTCAGTCCCAGGCAAACCAGGATGGCTGGTTACCCTTTAAGGAAATATAGTGCATTTTCAATAGTTTGGCTGAATTTATCACAGTATTCTGACTTACAGGATTCGGGAAAGTAAAAATAAGGCCGTTGGTCCATTCTGTTAGTATGATTTTAGTACTGGGGCTTTCTCAAGGGAGGAATCTGTGGTCTACTAGAGGGGGCTGGAGGACCAACTAGAGGAGAAAGGGTGTCCAAGCTGTCTTTGCTTTAAAATGCCATTTTCTCCGTGCTACATCCTTTTTATGGCTCCTGTCATCATTTTAAAGGTATGACAGTTAAAAAGATAAATGACCTTAAATAGAAAAATCTGGTTTTATAAAACAAGAGCTAAATAGGTGTCAGATCTAAGGATTGGCAGGTAGGGAGTGCACTTACTTGAATTGAAGAAACTTACTATGACCTGGACTTATGTAACTCAGTTATCAGAGCTCATAGCGGAGAGTGCCGACGAAGGCTGCAGTGTCCAGACACATCACCACAGGCCAAGTCCATAGGCTTGGATATCCATGGCCAACCTTCAGAGCCAGGTCCCTGGCAAGACTCTGTCTCCTGCCTAATCTCATGGCAGAGACTTGGGGTTACACTGCTTCTGCTTCCCTCTCTCCTTCCCTCGATTTCCATCAATCCATCAACCCCACTTCCCTTCCCGTGGATCTTTTACCCAGCATTCATTCATGACTGAAAGTTGTGATGAGGGTACAGATGGAAACATGTTCTCGGCTCGTAGGAAGGGGGATGCTTCGTGGCTACACAGCATCCTCTACGAAGTGCTGTTCCAACTTGAACAATACATGCAACATTTTAAGTGGCCTGCTTCCTGGAGTATATCCTCCATACCCAAAACAACCAACATTAGCATTTTACTTTATTTCCATCCCGTCATTTGTTCATCACATATTTTTTATTAAAAAGTAGAACTGTGCTCATGTATGTACAGGTATGCCCAATTTTGTATCATACTTTTTACACTTACTGGTTTGTCATAAGCATTTTTCCATGCTGCGGTATAGTCAGATGTACTAACTTTTTAAATGTGCTTCTTACGTAGATCTGCAACTATGTGGGACCTGCAAAGATTATTGTTCAGTTGGTCACAAATGGGAAAAACATCCACCTGCATGCACACAGCCTGGTGGGAAAACACTGTGAGGATGGGATCTGCACTGTAACTGCTGGACCCAAGGACATGGTGGTCGGGTAAGTGAGGGTGTCTGATACTGCGGGAGGCAGGAGCAAATGCAACATTGCACCTGGGGACTTTGACTGAATATGTCCTTTTCATTAAGAACCTTCCCAAGACTCAGAGGTCCTTAAGATGAAACTGTGAGCTCTCACTTGGACTCCCAAGGAAAAAGAAACCCACATGTCTGGGTTTTCTTGAGTTTGCACGGTGGTTCTGGCCTAATTATTTATAGCACCCCCTTTCAGTCTCAGAAGTGGCCCAGTTTGGATGATAATTTATATGGTCACTTACCCTATGAGGCATTTGTGCCACTTTTAGCTGTATCTTCCTTCTGGAAATAAAATAAGGACAAATTAGAAGAAACCGAACTATGGCAGAAATAAACACCTTTTAGGTTTTATACTCTTGATGATTCTTTTAATGAACTATTGAGTCTGGATTTATAGGGTGAACATTTTGAGCATGAAAAAGATAGATAAATATTGTTTCAGTTCTCTGCTATTTAGAAAGTGTACACAGAGAAAAAACGTAGGAATGCAAATTTGTTTTGGCATTCATTAGACTTGAAATGTAAATACAAAGGGACATACTCATTTAAGAGTTAGTCAGACAGACAGAACAAGCAATTTTAAATGAATGAAAGATTGTAAAATAAATTCAGCCCAAAAGGAGTAAGAAACTTTAAATTAATTTTGTTTAATTCTTAAGAATATCCTTCTAGGGTTTCCTAATACTGGTTTAAACAGTTAATGATAAAATCCCAGTTAATCTGGACTATTCACTCAAAGGAAAGGAATTGTTTAAATCAACCGTAATTAAGCATTTCAGGCTTTGAATTCCAATCAAGTTTTAAGTTGGTTGTTATTGGGGAGGTTGAGCTTTCATGTTCCTAGGTATTTCTTTGTTTGACTGTGAAAATATTCAAGTGTGAAAAACCTAGAGAGAGAGCTTTCTTTTAAGTCACGAAAATCTGATTCTTTTGATGTTAGAAAAAAAAGACTCTAGATTGGAGGAGGAGGCTTAAATTGATTTGAAAAATTCAGTTGTGCTTTATATGAACTTGTTTCAACATTCTCTTGAAAGGCTGGCCTGTTTCCTGTTGAATATCACAGTTGGTTCATCGTCTGTTTTGGAATACTCTTACAGTTCCCGGCTGACCTGTGAGAGCTTTGAAATGCAGGGTAATTGTCAGAGTTTCAGACTAATTGATCACTTAGTGTTTCTGCGGATTTATCCGAGTAGGGTGCTGTCAGTTTGAAGTGTTGGTCCTGTTTAATCTGTGTGATAATCATATCCTTTAGAGGAAATTATAAATGAAGTTCTTAGCTAATAATATTTGTTATTGTAAAATGGCCAGTATGTTGTCTATAATTTGGTGTTTCTGTGGCTTGGCTTATAATCTTCTAGGATTTTAGAAGGAACTAATGGTTATTTGGTTTGAAACCTACAGCGGGAATAGAAGTAAGTTCCCTGTTTCTAAGGAAGGGAAGAAAATCCTTTACTCTCTTGCAGTGGGGTTCTGTCATTGGGAGAACTCATTCATTCAACAAACATTTTGAGCATCTTCACTCCTAAGTTTGATCATCAAGATGTCTCATCATAACGCTGTGGGATTTTTGTAATCCCTAAAAGAAATTTAGTCAAGAGGATACCACGTAAGAGTTACAACAGTCTCAGTAGACTTTCTTATTTAGAGTGTTCTATGAAACACTGGTACTCCCTTTATAATTGATTTTTAGTTGAGAAACTTTTGCTTACAGTGTTTTCTAAAATACAGCAATTCCTTCATGATTTGTCTCATTTATTTATTTATTTATTTAAGTTTCCAATGTCAGAACCTGTTGCATTTTAGTAGAGAGAATATGCTAGTAGTCTGGAAACCAGAATTCTCTTTTCTTTTCTGTCACTCTCAGCAGTAGGGTTAGGGGCAATTTGTATGACTTCTTGAGCGCTTTAAATCCTTCCCTTATAAAATATGAGTGTTGGGCTACAGAGTTTATCTCCAGGCCCTTTACCTCTCAAAAATTCCAGACTGAGCTAACATTAGCTAATATTATGAAACAACATGAGCTGACTTGCGACATATGTATTTATGGAATGTCATCGATTACTATTATTTGGTTCTAACTTGTAGGTAAGAATAGCACCTAGAGAATTTTAGGAAGATAGCCAGAGTTATTCCTTAGACTTGTCAATACTAGAAATGAAACCAAGATAACCTGTCTTCTATAATACAGCTTAGGCTAAGAGTATATATTCATGAGCAGGGCACCAATCCAGCATATCAAAAAGAATATATAAAGAATAACTCAGGGGAGATAAATAACTTTTAAATTATCAAAGCCAGAGGGAATGTTGGGGGGAGGGTGAAATAGATGAAGGGGATTAAGAGTACACTTATCTTGATGAGCACTGAGTAATGTATGGAAGTGTTGAATCACTATATGCTAACTATACTGGAATTAAATTTAAAAACTAAAAGCAAATTAAAAAAAATAAATTATCAAAGCCAAAGAAATACTTTTCTTTGGGGTTCTCAATAAAATTTAGTTTCTATTTTCAATGATATTTTGTTATCTAGATTAAAATATTCATGTTTTAGATAACTTGAGTCACAACTGTAGGTTTGAGTGCTTACATTTGGGGGATTTTGCCTTTAAAAATTTTTTTATTTAGCTTTAATTTTTTACATTTTATTTCTTACTCATTTATTTAGTTAGCTTTTAGTGCCTGTCCTCATAAAAATAATTTTAGTTTGGTATTTTATTTTTGACCTTGAATATCAACGGTTTGTTTCAACAACATTTTAGTTCTCTGAAATTTTCAATGGAAACTATCTGTTACTTGACTTTGCTTTAAGCCACCTTCCTCACCAATAATCACCACACCCTCTGTTTCCTGGCAGCCCTGATTTAGAGAGATCTGAAGTTTTTTTTATCTTTTTTTTAAAATAATATTTATGGCATGTACCAATTGGTAAGCACTAGTAGTGGATATATAAATACAAAAGAGAAACAAGGCCTCCCTCAATGAGCTAGTGCAAACTGTATTAAATTGGTGTTTTTGTAGGTTTAAAAACAATTGATTATTGGTAGTTTTACAATGTTAACCTGAATACACAGAAAAGATGCTGGTTGAAGAAAATGAACAAAGTATATGGACTGAGATTGGAAGTGTCCAACTTCCACATTAGGGTGTAGATTGTGAGTCAGTGTGCTTTTGAACCTTGCGCAAGCTATAAAAGTCAATGTTTGTGTCCTGAGAGGAAGAAAGGCCAGAGAGAGGGGCCCTTTTAAAATCCCAAACTAATGAACCTACCCAGAGGGCAGCAGTAATCCCTGGATGATGAAGATGATGATGGAAACATCTGGCACAGTGTAGAGGATTGCAAACCTGACTGCTAATTAAAGTCACCTTTGATCACTTTATGAAAATACTGAGCCAGGCCCTCCTCTCAGAGATTCTGATCTCATTGGTCTTGCCTAGCATAGAGCGGTGGTTCTCAAACTTTAGGTGCATTGGCATCTCCTAGAGGATTTGCTGAAATACAAATTACTGAGCCCCACCCTCAAAGTTTCTGATTGAATAGGTTTGGGATACAGTTTCAAAATTCGCATTTTAATAAGTTCTCAGGAATCACTAATGCTGCTGGTCTAGAGACTACACTTTGCCAACTACTGTATAGAATATGGCATTTTGAGTAAGACACAAGATTGTAGTCCCAGTCCTATTATTAGCTGTGATAGCCATCTTTTTAAAAATTTGTGTCAGGTTTTACTGAAGCAAAGTATAATTTAAATACTGTAATATTTACCCTTTAAAGTGTACAGTTCTATGAATTTTGACAAATACTGGAATAAGAACCCCAATCAAGGTATAGAATAGTTCCATTGCCCCCCCAAAATCCTGTGTGCCCCTTTGGAGTCAACTCTACCTCCCACTCCAGGCCCTGGCAACTCCTGATCTGTTTTCTATCCCTATAGTTTTGCCTTTTCCAGAATGACATAGAAATGGAATCATGTAATATGTAGCCTTTCTGAGTCTGGCTTCATTCACTTAGCATAATGCATTTGCGATACCTCCAGCTTGTTGTGTATTGGCAGCTTATTGCTTCTCATTACAAAGTAGTATTGCATTGCACTGATGTATATCACAGTTTGTCAGTCCAGTTGTTGAAGAACGTTTAGTTTATTTCCCGTTTTTGATGACAGAACCACTTTTTGTGTGAACATAAGCTTTCGTTCCTTTTGGTCTTAGGTAAATACTGAAGAGTGGAATTGTAGGGATGGATCCTAAGGGCCCATTTGTTTTGATAAGAGACTGCCAAATTGTTTTTCAAAGTGGCCGTACCATCTTGCATTCCCATGTATTAACATTTATGATCCTCCGTTTTTTCAGTTGCGCGTGGTATTAGCAATGCCTGCTCTTGTTTTCTTTTACATTTTCTTCTAGAAATTTTCTAACATACACAAAAGTAGAAGATAACCATAATGAGCCCTTACTGTACCCATCACCCAGCTTTGGCAATTAATTATTACATCTTGATTTAAATATACCTCTGCCCAGATAGCTTTCATTTGTTCATACCTGATCGAGTTACATTCTGTTAAGAGAATGCTTGGTAGGATTTCAATCCTCTTAAATTTATTGAGACTTGTTTGACAGATCAGAATATGGTGTGCTTGGTAAATGTTCCTTGTGCGCTTAAAAAGAATGATTAGTCTAATCAAGTTGAATGCATGTTCTATAAATGTCAATTTAGTCAAGTTGTTTGATAGTGTTGTTCAAGGCTTCTGTATCCTTACTGACTTTTTCCCTACTTGTTCTATCAGTTATTGAGAGAGAGGTGTTGAAATCTCTGACGATATTTATAGATATATCTATTTCTTCTTCCAGTTTATAAGATTTTGTTTCTTGTATTGTGAAGCTCTTTTATTAGATACATAAACATTTAGGATTCTTATGTCTGCTTAATGAATTGATCCTTTTATGGTTATGAGATGACCCTCTTTTATTCCTGGTAATACTTTTTTGCTCAAAAATCTACCTTGACTAGGGGCACCTGGGTGGCTCAGTCGTTAAGCGTCTGCCTTTGGCTCAGGTCATGGTCCCAGGGTCCTGGGTCTGAGCCCTGCATCGGGCTCCCTTCTCAGCAAGAAGCCTGCTTCTCCCTCTCCCACTCCCCCTGCTTGTATTCCCTCTCTTGCTCTCTCTCTCTGTCAAATGAATAAAATCTTTAAAAAAGAAAAAAATCTACCTTGACTGATACTAATATATAGCTATTTC